CTTACGGTTGTCATTATAGATATTGCCAGAATAGAAACAAAAGCAATCGATAAAACTTTAGGATAACAAAAATAGTTGGTTAATCACAATCTGTTATCTATACTCCAAAATAAACTTTAAGAAAGAATTTTAGGCGACTTGCTTTGCATAGCTTAATGTTCTTATACCCGTTTCAAATATGAAACCACAGTGACATCTAGGGTTTAATATACACATTGAGACCCGCACCGATAAATTGCTGAGCTCTTTGTGTAAAATCGAATGGGTGCATTTTGTCATTATAATCATTATTTTCAAACAGATGCAAATACAGGGGAATCCGCCGTTGCCTTTTGATGAGATCTACATATTAATCTCTCCTCCATCCACTTTCACACAACGGCAAGAGCAGATAAACCGGTTAAGGAGCATATTTATGAAAGGCTCTGCCTGAATCATCCATGATCAAAATGTCTATATAAATACAAGCCGGATCCAAGATTTCGTTTAAAATCAGGCTTGTTTTTGTTTCCCCTTATTTATCCATTTGAGCATAGACTTTGATCTGAATAAGGCTTAAAATCCGCTACGTGTATTGGCATTAATGTTTAATTTCTTCATTTTTATCTATGATAAATTATCACTTTATTTGCTCGAAAGCTTGTTAATCTAAGGGAGGAGCAAGAGGGACTGATAGTACATAAATTGGCAGAGTTATAATTGTGCGACTGGAGGAGCAGTTGACCTAACTTTGACGTCATTTATCCTGATGCTTTATCGCTTGTAACGCTTGCTTATTGAGATTTGCAACTAGCAATTGAAATTTACTGATTAAGAGAAACGTAAATAAGGCCTTGCCGGAAACATGTAGTGCCTGGTTCATTCTAAATAAATTTCTCAATTTCAGCTTGAATCCAGAACCTATCAGCAAGCAAATCTTGGATGTGGCCAAGGCGCTTGAGCAGTGCCAGGATCTCGCCTCGAGACTGGAAGAGGAACTGAATGTGCTTAATAGACGTCTCGTCCCTGGCGACTCTGATTCTCCCGATTTAATCCCAGAATCTTTGGTAGTTTTCGAAAATTCGCCTTCCTTATCTGCCTCTTCACCTGAGTAAACCTATTCATCCACCACACCTTCCTCTCCAGCTTTGTAACTTTTGCTAAGTTATTCTCTCCAATTGTTCTCATAAACTGCCTGGATCCTGGTCGGCTACTCTTGATCTTCCTATATTTATATATATGTCTGTATATTTCATAATATTCGTAAACATTCCTTTAATCTCAATTAGGTTTTCCATTTGAAATTGTCTTGTTCATTCGGAAGATTATTTGTATCTGATTAGTTTTTATTCATTTGTACATTCTTCTCTTATCAATTTTGTACCATTTACATATACCCGGTTTCCGTTAAAAAAACTGTTTCCTTTACAAGCTTTTTTATATTTTATTTCAATTCTCCCTCAACTTTTTAGTTTTATAGAAAGTCAACTAGATATTCATTGGCCTTAGAATCTAGCTAAGGAATCAGATTAAATGGAGCTCCAATGCAATTTCTAGTCTATGTTTTATTTTATTGTCTATTTCTCCTGTATTTATCACGTTGATTTTATTATCAACTTATTTGGTTATTGAAACAGTTTTAGCATCGCTTCTAATCATAACTTTGCACTTATTACGGCACATCAGTGTATGCGTATTTCAAGATTCACCAAAATAAGCTTTAGTTACTGGTAGTCTCGAAACTCTACTCCAATACGAAAATAAGTAACGTAGTCGATTGTTATAGCAAATATACGTTTGCTTCATCGGCACTCCAACCAAAGAATATGATATAGCAAAAAGGCCTGACTTTTCTTGAAATTCACTTATGCTCTCTCACTCAAGGGTACTCGTGGCAGTGGAGCCGAGTGGTTAGCGTGTCAAGCTCCCATCCTGCGCTGTCGCGGTTCGGCTCCGGCTGAGGGTGTTTATAAGACCGATGCGAGGTCGAAATTGTAGTCCATTGTTGCCTGGATAAGAAGAAGCTTTGGGAAAACAAGGCTATGTGAAATTCTATG